CGGTTTTTTATGACGCTTTTTGTATTCAAAAGACTTGAACAAATCTAATTGTTAAATCTTATTCTTTCAATATTCTGTCTTGTCGGCCTATGGCATATCATTTGATTCACCCTGACTGAAAGACGCTGAGAAGTATTGCGGTAGTCGACGGATAATAATAACCGTCAACAGCTTTATGACGCGTGTGGCCGGGCATGCCGTTGAGGTTCTGTCGTGCCCCGCCACCATTTCGTCCTTTCGGCCTCCAGGAAACACACACTGTGATTTCTGTGATTACTCCCATTTTGTGGAGGAAGAAACGGAGGCACTGAGAAGTTAGCTCCTTTGCCCAAGGCCACCCAGTGGGTGGAAGCAGAGCTGGGTGGAAGTCCCACCAGTGTGGCCTTGGAGAAGGATTTCTGAAAGCTGCTGGAGCCCCATGCAGCCACGTAGGAGGGACCCATGACTCTCAGGACGTGGACTCTGCGACATGGCTGGAGCCGCGTGTCCCCAACCTTACTGCAGGCTCACAGCAACCCTGCGCAGGGAGGATTCTCATTCCTGTTTGTAAAATGCAGAAACCCAGGCCAGGAAGGGTGAGCGCCTGGCCCCAGGTCCCCCGCAGGGGCGTGGAGGTGAGGGGCGCCGCCTGCCCGCGCCCGCCCCAGTGGCGCTGCCGTGCTCACCTGCTGGGAGCGGCGGGCCTCTCCTGTCCGTGAGGATTCGGGGGTGGGAGTCTGAGGGGCCCCAGCCAAGGCTAGCTCCCTCGTGCCAGGTATGAACACACATGAGGCATAAAAGGAAAGCGTCTCCTCTCTACGAGTGTTTGTGAAGCACGAGTGGTCAGCCCTTCGCTGTCTGGAGAGGGCAGTGAAGAGTGGGAGGCTTATGGGCTGACCTCCATCGCGGCCCTGGAGGGACGGCCCAGGGCGGTCACAGAGCTCTATCCGTCCATGGACAAGCAGGCGGCGAGGGGGAATCGTGTGTGAGGCACTCGGCCTTCCCAGCCTGGGTGGCTGCCGGGTGGCTGCTCAGGGGACGTGCCCGCCACACACTGGGGCCGATCTGGTGAGAGGACAGCCCTGGGGACGGGCACGAGAGCTCCCCGAGCCCCACAGCCAGGCGTGACCTGCTCTCGCTCCTCAGGTTGATCGGGGAGGTGGCCTCAATATACGTTTAAGATCACGAGTGTCACCTCTGGAAGGCAGAGTATTGAAGATCTGAGATCTTGTGATCTTCTCCAAACAGTGCTAGGAGACTCTGGCTCTATTTGAATTGTGCTTAAATAATATTTTTTATCATTTTCAAGAATAGCATGTAAATTACAGAAACATCTGGAGAGGACAGGGAAGCACAAACATCTCCATGGCTGGGTCTCTCATTGCCAGCAGCGTGTTCACTGTCAGGCACTGCAGACAGGTAGATAGAACAATAGATGGACAGAAGATACTGCTCTATTATCTTTCTGACTTAACTCCTGTTTTCACATAACAGAACAACTTTCTATGTCAAATAATTACTTTTTGTTTAGCATTCCTTTAATGGTTGAATTATATTCCGTTCCATGGGTTTGTTGCATTGGGTTATTCAATCCCCCATGTGGAGTATTTATGTTACCTCTGATCTTTGGTTATTATAATCAATTCTGAAAGACACTTAATAGCCAAATGTTTGTAGTTTCCACATTACTTCCCTTGGGATAAATTCTCAGAAGTGGGATTGCCGGATCAATGGGAATGTGCAGTGTAAGAATTGCCCCATGTGCCTGGCTGTGTTTGTCTTAGCAGGCTGGGCCCGGTCTGACCACTCCGCTTAAGAAGCTTGGATTTCCACCTGGCTTCTCATCAGCTCTGGCGTCTAGAGGGTGGCTAGTTTCTGGGTCTCAGCAGCCGGCTCAGCCCCGCTGGACTGCAATAGTGGGACCTCACCAGGCAGAGGCTCCATCATGAGTTGCTCTCACCTTGAAGCTGCCGCAAGAGAGAGGGTAAATCTTTACAGAGACTTCCAAACCCTAGAATTGACAGCTCCAGGTTAGAACCATCTCTGAAAATCTCTTGGGGAGAGGAGAAAGACAAAAGTCCCTCCTAAAACCACTGATTTGAGTAAGAGAGTCAGACACTAACCATATTGTATTGCATATTGAAAATTAGCTAAGAGTAGCTTTTAGGTGCTCTTACCGCATACGCACACACAAAAGGTGATTGTGGAAGATGATCTATATGTTCACTGGCCTGCCTGTAGCAATGACTTCACTATGTATAAGTATGTCAAAGCATCATGCTATAGACCTTGAAACAAACAAATAAGTAAATAAATAAGTGATTTGAATGACTCTCAAGCTAGCACTGGTATTACATAAAGTAGTACATCTCTTTTAGTTTATTGAGCTGGCGTGGTGGCTCACGCCTGTAATCTCCGTGCTTTGGGAGGCTGAGGCAGGCTGATCGCTTGAAGCTGGAATTTGAGATCAGTCTGGGCATAGCAAGACTCCATATTTATTAAAAATGGGGAAAAAATGGCTGACTGTAGTAGTATGTGCCTGTAGTCCCAACAACCTAGGAGGCTGAAATGGGGAGGATGGCTTGAACCCAAGGTTTTCTTTTCTTTTCTTTTTTTTTTTTTTTGACACAGAGTCTTGGTCTGTTGCCCAGGCTAGAGGGCCTTGGCATTAGCTTAGCTCACAGCAACCTCAAACTCCTGGGCTCAAGCAATCCTTCTGCCTCAGACTACTGAGCTGCTGAGACTACAGGCATGCGCCACCATGCTCAGCTCATTTTTTTCTATGTATTTTTATTGTCGTAGCTAATTTCTTCTATTTTTAGTAGAGACGGGGTCTCACTCTTGCTCAGGCTGGTCTTGAACTCCTGACTTTGAGCCATCCTCCTGCCTCGGCCTCCCAGAGTGCTAGGATTACAGGCGTGAGCCATCACTCCCAGCTGAGCCCAAGGTTTTGAGGTTGTAGTGAGTTATGATCATACAAGTGTACTCCAGGCTGGGTGACAGAGAGAGACACTATCTCAAAAAAAAAAAAAAAAAGGAATGATTTATTGGAGGCCAGTGCTATATCAGTTTAATTGGCTGAAACATACATAGTGATGGCAGCTGCACTTTGAATTAGTTGAGCCATTTTTGGTTTGTTTTTATTTTTCATTACAATCAAACTAAACTGTGTTTCCACTGACATTTCAGTTTAGAAGAGAACATGTGGACTTAGAAGTCAAACCATCTGGGCTGAAATCCTGGCACTTATACTTGTTAGAAATCTTCCTTGAACAAGAGACTTAACTTCTTTGTGCCTCAGTTTCCGTATCTGTAAAATAGGAATAAGAATACATACTTCATTAGCTGTAGCAAGGGTTAAAAGAGAAAACAAAGGTTGTGCCCCTGAGGGTCTAGCATATAGTAAATAGTTAGAAAACATTAATTTTTTTTTTCTTCTCTTATTTCAGCAGCAAATCTGCTGTGGTTTGTATTATTATAAACTAGGAGTCCTTCCCGAGTGTTTCATTTACAGATTCAAGTTTATTGACCATCTTGTATTAGCGTGGGATCTTATTTCAGTTAAGTCTGCACTGTAATTGAATGTGATTACATTTCGAACACCGTGAAATACTATACCATTACTACCAGGTTGAATAACATTTTTCATATTCAGGAATATTAGAAAAGCAAACAGAGAAAGTAAATGACCTAAATGATAGAAATCCTATCAGCTCCCCTGTATAAAGATTAGCCTTGTTGTGCAGATGTGTAGTATGCACCGAGCTCCAGCTAGGGGATTTGGATGGTACCACAATGGTTTGCATCATTCATTCTTTCCATTGCCTTTATAAAATAAATCAATTTGAAAACATTACTCAACTTATGTTTGATAAAACCATAAACAGACAGCAGTTCCCCCACTTACACACCACGTGGAAGCTTAGAAATTTTCCTCCCTGTTCTTTGTTCGACATGCTGAGCAACCAGTCCTGGCCTCTCCTGGCCTCCTGGCCTTCATTCCCAGACTAGAGCTTAGGGTTCCCGGCCTTTCTTTAGCTGTCTTTGTGTGTGTTTCAAAATCATGTAGGAAAAAAAGTCATGTAGGAAGACCATTCAGTGGGGAAAAATAGTCTCTTCAACTATTGGTGCTGGGATAACTGAATTTCCACATGTGAAAGAATTAACTTTAACCCCTACCTCACTCCAATACAAGAATTATCTCAAAAATGGTTCAACAACCTAAAAATAACAGCCATGGAGTATATCTTTATAACCTTGGATTTGACAATGGTGTCTTAGATCTGACAGACACCAAAGCATGAGCAACAAATGAAAAAATTGATAAATTGGACTTCATCAAAGTTAAAAACATTCGTGCATCAAGGGACATTATCAGTAAAGTGAAAATATAACCTGTGAGTGGGAGAAAGTATTTACAAATCAAATATGTGATAAGGGCCTAGAATCCAGAATATATAAAGAACTCTTAGAACTTAATAAAAAAAATAAACAACCTAATTTTTAAAACTAGGCAGAGGACCTGAATAGACATTTCCCCAAAGAAGATATACAAATGGCCAACAAGGACTTGAAGAGATGCTTAATATCAATAGTTATTAGGGAAATGCAAAGTGAAACTACAAAGACTTGCCACTTCATACCCACTAGGATGACGTTAATAAAAAATGGAAAATAACAAGTGTTGGTGAGAACACACAACATTGCTGGTGAGCATCTAACGTAGTTTAGCCACTGTAGACAACAGCTTGGTGGTTCCTCAAAAAGTTAAACACAGAAGTACCATGTGACCCCACAATTCCATTCCTAGATATATATTGGAAAATAATTAAAAATAGATACTCAAAGGCCGGGGGCGGTGGCTCACACCTATAATCCTAGCACTCTGGGAGGCTGAGGCGGGCGGATTGCTTGAGCTCAGGAGTTTGAGACCAGCTTGAGCAAGGGCGAGACCCCGTCTCTACTAAAAATAGAAAGAAACTAGCTGGACAACTAAAAATACATGCAAATAATTAGCCGGGCATGGTGGCACATGCCTGTAGTCCCAGCTACTCAGGAGGTTGAGGCAGCAGGATTGCTTGAACCCAGGAGATTGAGGTTGCTGTGAGCTAGGCTGACGCCACAGCACTCCCTCTAGCTGGACAACAAAGTGAGATTCTGTCTCAAAAACAAACAAACAAAAAAAAAAAAAACAAAACCAGGTACTCAAACAAGTGCATGTATACACATGTTTATAGCAGCACAATTCACAATAATCAAAAGGTGAAAACAGCCTAAAGGTTTATCAGCTAATGAATGGATAAACAAATTGTGGTCTGTACATACAATGGAGTATTGTAGATCCATAAAAAGGCACTGACACATACTGCAATGTGGATGAACTTTAACAACATTATGCTAGGCCGGGTGCAGTGGCTCACGCCTGTAATCCTAGCACTCCGGGAGGCCGAGACCGGTGGATTGCTCGAGGTCAGGAGTTTGAAACCAGCCTGAGCAAGAGCGAGACCCTATCTCTACTAAAAATAGAAAGAAATTACTTGGACAGCTAAAAATATATATAGAAAAAATTAGCCGGGCATGGTGGCACGTGCCTGTAGTCCCAGCTACTCAGGAGGCTGAGGCAGAGGGATTGCTTGAGCCAGGAGTTTGAGTTGCTGTGAGCTAGGCTGACACACAGCACTCTAGCCTGGGCAACAAAGTGAGACTCTGTCTCAAAAAACCCACATTATGTTAAGTGAAAAAATTGAAACAAAAAGTCATATATTGCATGATTCCATTTACATGCACTATCCAGAATAGATAAATCCATAGACACAGAACCCCTGGGTGGTTGCCAGGTGCTGGGGAGGGGAAAGGGTAAAACAGAGAGAAATTTCTTCATGGGTAAGCAGTTTTACTTTGGAGTGATGGAAATGTTTGGAAACCAGATAGAGGTGGTGGTTGTACAACATTATGAAATGTACTAAATGCCACTGAATTTTTCACTGTAAAGAAATGGCTAATTGTATGACATAGAAATTTTACCTCGATACATTATTTTTTAAGAATCAGGAGACAAAGCCTTTCTTTAGCAAATAAGCAAACACACAGCAGGAGTAAAGAGGTGAACACGGTCTCCATGGGACACTAGCATTTCTCTTCATCAGTAAAATAGAGACGACAGTATTTCCTACATCACAGAGCTGGGAGGGGAACATGTGAGTTAGTCTATGTAATGTGCTTAGAACAGGGCTGTACATATGGCAAATGCTTCATGCATATTATCTATCATTATTATTAATTCTTGCCCAAGGAACCCCCTAGAAAACTTTTTCCAAAAGTTCTAAAGCAACCACTTCCTCCTTCAATTATAAACATCAACAACCCTTCATTTGAAAAAATAAAGATGGGAGAGAACTAACCTGAGTGTGACCAGCATCACTGGAATCTACTACCTGTCGGATATTTTGCAAATACTCCCACACTTAACCTTCCACCTTCTGGGTGAGTATACAGTTTCCATTTTTCAGCTGGGGAAACTGAGGCTCGCAGAGATTAAATAATTTGACCAATACCTCACCGATAGTCAGTGGCAGATCCAGAATTCAAACTCAGGTCTGGCTTTTACCAAAAGTCATGAACTTCCCATGCCACAGCACTGCTTTCTCTGCCCAAAGTAACTCTGTGGGGCAAACCCGCCAGAAATGGGCAGGGGGAAGAACAGAAGGAAGAAATGCAGGACAAAGAGAAAGCCCTGCTGGGGTGCAAACTCTGCTGACTGGTATTCCTAACATCACTGACTTCCTAATTGGCCTCAGCCACATCCTTTATTCCTTTCATGATACATTAATCCCAAGTACCAGGCTGGGACCAACCTGATGTCGTCTCGTCTCGCTACATTAACCCGCTGATTTGAAAGGAGTTCTAAAATATTGGCCAGGACAAATGCACAGGAAATCTGAGCCCTCGCTCTGTCCTCTACTTCCATCTCACTCCTAACCCACACCCACTGCATTTCTTGGCACTGGAAGAGAAGACTCTACTCACGCTGGGTATGAGGGGTTCAAGACAGAGTGTCTGCTTGGCTGACCCCATATAGGAGGATGCCTTGTCCCTGCCTTTTAAGTCCCCCAAAACCCTGATATTCTGCCTCGTGGGATCCAGAGTTACCTGTGTAATCAGCAAGCTAAAGCTGGTTGGGGCAAGAAAGAAGTGACCTTAGCTAATCAGCATATGCTGTCGTTGCTTAGGACCAGGGCCACCCAAGGGATGAGAGAGAGACATTTTTCCCTTGCTAGAAGGTTGAGCTGGGGGGTGGGAGAAAATAGATACATCTTTTGGTGCTGAAATGTACCAGCCTATTAGCCAGCCTGTGTCTAGTTGGGATTGATGGCAGATCCCTGTCCCTGGACAGTGTCCATGGGGACAATGCCCTAGAATGCCTAGGACATTGATACTCCTCTCTTCCCTAATTAGCATAAGCCCTGCTGCCCCTCAGGTGGTGTTACTGTAACCTTAAACTTCCCCTGGGCTCTCCCTGTTCCTCCTACTCCTTGGGTCTCAGGGTCCTTTGGTGGCTGCATCAGAGCTTACTTGCTTTTTCCCACAGCTGGGAAGTCTGGCTTTCTGTTTAAAGGACACTCACTTAGAGGAAAACCAAGCAGGTTTTCACCCCACCTTTGGAACTAGGAAGTTAGCTTCTGATCAGGTAAAGATGATCCCCTGACATGGCACCGCTTTCCAGAATGCACCAGAGCTGACAGTAGGATGAGGCAAGAGAGGCACCCAGGGCACAAAATTTAACAAAGCACTTTGCTGTGGGTTAGATATGGTTTGTCCCATGAAAAACTCATGTTGAGTTTTTGATTTGATTGTCCTTGTGGCAGCGTCGGGAGGTGAGGCATTTCTCGAGGAAATGGGTTCAGTTCCCTTTCCTCTCTCACCCGTGTGCCCTCTCTCCCATTCTGCTTCTCCACCATGCCGTGAAGGAGCACCAGCTTCATCAGGTGGAGCTGCCCTCTCCTGGGCCTCCCAGCCTCCAGAACCATAGCTAAATAAACCTCTTTCCATTATAAATCACCCAGTCTAGGTATCGCAACACAAAACAGACGAAGACCACTTGCAAGCCCCCCGAGAGTGAATGTTTCCTTAAATGTTGTGCCGAAGGTGCCTCCTTTGCTCCCCCTAGTGTCATCCCTGTTGATCCTTAGCCACGTGGGCTCAGAAATCTGCAGTTGTCAGCTAAGTACACAGAGAGCAGATATGGCAGACTCCCATCCACCCAATCTGGGAGGCTGGTGACTAACACCAGAAGGCCGGTTTGTTCATTAATAGAGAGCTGTGGACTGTCATAGCAGTTAAATTCTGACCAGCACCATGAATATTCCCCCCACCCACCCCCAATAAGCTCCATGGGCAGCCAGATCATAATCAGAGAGTGGTGAGATGAATCTTTGTCCCAGTGAGTTAGGGGATTTGGATAGTTAATCTCCACCATAGGAATTTCACAATCAGCAGGCCAGACCCCCAGGCCAGGCTTCCCTCTCTCCTGGCAAAGCTGATCTGTGGCTGGTCAGCTCCACTTCTGATAAGCACAGTCTCACTTTGGACGTGGTAACTCTTTCCATTGGTTTTACCTCAAAGTCTCTTGGCCTGGAAGTCATTCTGTCTCTTTCCAGAGGCTGCATGTCTCTGCTTCAATTGCACTTTGTATTTATCTGGAAACGTATCCTTCTCAAACAGCCATCAATCATATTTCATTACTTCCAATGCCCTGAGAGGGGACCTCATGCTGACAGGCTTCCTGTATCTATGTGGTCCTTGGCAGACAGGACAGCAGCAATGAAGACCTTGGCCATCATGCCAAGGGGTTTGGCCTTTAACTCAGTAGAAGCATGGCACTATTAGAGAGTTGAAAGCAAGCAAATGGTATGGTCATATTTGCATTTTAGAAAAAAAAAACACACTGTCAGCAGCACAAGGGAAGAATTAACGGATGGAGGAGGTGGTGATTGTAAAATCTGTCTACAAGTTTATTGATGCTTCTCCCTTCAAGAGGTGGAATCTGATTTCTTCCATCTGGCTGCCACGCTCTGAGAAAGCCCTGACCACATGGAGAGATCACATCTAAGTGTCTGGGTGACAGCCCCAGCTAAGGTCCCAGCCAACAGTCAGAATCAACCACCAAACAAGAGAGTAAGCAAGCCTTTGAGAGGTCCCTTGTCCAGCCAGCATCCGATAGCAATTGCTCGACAGACACTGGATGAGAGCCACCTAACTGAGTACAGTTGTTACGGGTTGAATTGTGTCCCCTCACAAAAGGTATGCTAAAGTCTTAACCCCTGGGACCTCAGAATGTAACTTTATTTGGAAACGGGGTCTTTATAGAGGTAATTGAGTTAAAATGAGGCCTTTAGGGTGAGCCCTAATTCAATATGACTGGTGTCCATGTCAAAAGGAGAAATGTGGACAAAGAGACTGGCCTGCACAGAGGGAAGACAAAGTAAATGCACGCAGGGACAATGCCTTGTGAAGACACGTTGGATCGGTGCATCCACAAGCCAAGGAACATCAAAGATTGTCATTCAACCACTGGAAGCTAGGAAGAGGCAAGGAAGGATTGCCCAAAGTGCTTAGGGCGACACCTTGATTTCAGACTTTTAGCCTCCAGGACTAGGAGACAATATATTTCTGTAGTTTTAAGCCAACCAGTGTGTAGGATTTTGTTACGGCAGTCCCAACAAACTAATATACCAGTCAACCCCTAGAACCATGAAAAATAATAATAATAATAAAAGATTATTGCTGTGCATCACTAAGTTTGAGGTAGTTTGTTACACAACTATAGAAAACCGGAGCAGATTTTGATAAAGTCAAAGGAAGCATAACACGTGAGACTGGCGTTGGAACTGGACAGCAGGCAGACACTGGAAGGACCTTGAGACTCTCAGTGGGAGCCTAAAGGGCTTCTGTCAGTAAGGGCTTAAGGCAAGTCAGAAAAGTGTTGCTAGAAGCTGGAGGAGAGGGGCCGTCGTTATGTTGCAGTGGAATGCTTAGCAACACTGTTATATGTAGTAACTTGGAAAACAGATAATGTATGTAATAATGATTAGCCAAGAGCATTTCCAGCAATGTGGAATGTGCTACTTTGTCTCTTCTAGAATAAAATGAGAGAGGAGAGAGAAGAGCTAAATAGTGAGTTGTTAATAATATATATGGGTTGGAAAATGAAACTGTTTCTTATTCCCAGCCTCCCCAGATAGCAACCAATTCTCAAATTAAGACATGATTCTGACAAAGATCGGTCCAGAGCCCTGCCAAGAAAACATGATCTAATGTTTTGCATTAGATTGACCTTTGCTGTGTTGCAAAGTCAAGGATGTGGCTGTAAAACCTTTTATTAAGGCCTCAGGAAGATTTAAGGAGATGCTTCATATATCATTTCAAATACATATAAGTCTCTCTAAGGATTTTAAAGGCATTCCCTTCAGATCCAGTCTATTAAACAATCAAACTTCTAACAATCTCAGGGGAATTATCCCTCAGTAGACTTACAGGGAACTCAGGAGAGAGAAAAGCTAATATTTATGAGATTTATGTGAATGGTTTCATCTTATTGAGTGGGCTGCAATAAGATTAATAAGAAATCCATGAAGTTTTTAAGAGAACTGTATTGGCAGAAACATTGCCAGCTTGAAAAGGGCAGAGGCAGTGCAAAATAAAAATAGAAATATGGGCCCTCAAATTTCTCCAGGGGGGAAACATACTCAGCTACAAAAATGGGCTATGTTTTATATAAAAGGAAAACTAATTCTGAAGACAGAAACATGAGCTCAGAGAGTGAAGCCAAGACCTGTGGAGAATTATTCCCAAGCAGGAGGACTGCACCCTACTCAACAAACTGGCTACGTGTAACCAGCTGAATTTGAGTTGCTGTTGATCCGTGACAATGTGTGCTTCCCATTTCCCCCATTTTGAATGGGAGGGTTTATTAATTTATGCTTTTCTCATCATTGCATGGTGAGTGTGTAAAGGGCAGATAACTTGTTTCCTTAGCTCACAGGACTCCAGGTTGAGAGGAATGGTATTCAAGGAGCTGTATCTGAGAAATCACACTGAAGGAGCTTCAGCCACACCTGGAGCTGATTTAGTTGATGAGACCCTGGACTATCAGCCTGAGCCTGATGCTGAGACTTACGGAGGTCTTGAGAGGACGTGTGTGTATTTTGCATGTTGGAGGAATGTAAATAATAATAATTTATGACTGGAAGGTGAACTTTGTTGGCTTTAAAACACATTTGAAAATTTGTTGACACTCTTGCATCAAGAGATAGAGACTACTTCCCCTGCTGTTGAATAAGGGATGGCTTTAGTGATTCATTACTAATGAATAGAAGGTAACAGAAGTGACATTATGTGACTTCTGAGGCTAGTTCACAAAACATGATACAGCTTCCGTCTGACTCTCTTTCTTAGGATACTTTCTTTATTTTATTTTATTTTTATTTTTTGTAGAGTTGGGGCCTTGCTGTGTTGCCCAGTCTGGTCTTGAACTCCTGGCCTCAAGTGCTCCTCCCACCTCCCAAGGGGAAAGTTTCTATTGAAACCCAGGCCCCATGCAGTGAAGAAGAGGAGGCCATAAGGTGAGGCCACATGCAGGTGTTCTGAATAATATTCTCGGCTGAGGTCCCACCCAGCCAGTCAGCAGCCAACATCAACTACAAGACATGTGATTAACTAAGACTTTGAACTGACTCCAGTCTCAGCCACCATCTGACTGCAACTGCTTGAGAGAACAACCAAGCTGAGCCCAGTCAACTCCCAGGACCCTGAGAAATAGAAATAATAATAAGGATAAATGGTCATTGCTGTTTTAAGCCTCTAGGTTTCAGGATTTTTAGGCAGCTATAATTGACAGAATGGGAAGTGGGGTTGGGGTTATATAATAATATTAACACCAAGTCTTTACCGAACTACTATGTGCCATGCAATATGGTAAGTGCTTTAATTCTGTGTTTCACGTAATCCCCACAATAACCTTACAAGACAGAGATTTTCATGTACTGTTCCATGTGCGAGAGAGAGAGAGAGAGAGAGAGAGAGAGAGAGAGAGAGAGAGAGAGAGAGAGAGAAAGAGGTATTTTTACAAATTTGTGAGGTTATAAACCTTGGTACCTTCAGCCTTGTGAACACCATCCTGAGCCACTCTAAATAATTGTCATGAGATCTTCTTGGGCTGTAAATTGGAACACATGACTTCCAGGCCTAAGACTACCGTGTTTCACCATTTTCTGTCATGATCGAGTCCAAACTCCTCAGAGAGCACGCACACCCTTCTTTATCTCAGCTCACCTATGGCCCCAGGCTCATCTCTCACCCGTGTCCCTCCTGGCGTAGCCCTGCAAGCACACCCCCGAGTGTTCTAAGGCCTTGCCCTCCCTCACCTCCAGACCTTTGCTCCTTTTTCTTAAAATGCACCTTCCTTCTCACTCCATCCCACCACCTGCCTCCTGTCCTCCTGTCCTCAACCCTTTCCATCTGTCAAGTGACAATTCAGGCTCTGGGGCCATGCTCAGAGATCACCCCTGGGAAGCCTTTCTTCCCTCCCCTCCTCCCTCCTTCTGTGTGTTGGGGCCTCTCACCTACTCTGTGCTTCTCAGAATTGACAAAGTTCTGTGTATTTAAGCCTTACCAACACCAAGCAATGTGCTAGGTGCTTTAATTATGGATCTCAGTGTTTATACCCTTGGGGACACGTGAGATATTTCTTAAAATTCTAATAGCTATGCATTTACTTTACTGTTATTTTGGGGGGGTTTTGTGGGGGGAGACCTAGGTCCATGACCTAGGGCTGTGTGTGTGTGTGTGTGTAAGTTTATAGATTACAAGTGTCATTTTGTTACACTGATATACTGCATAGTGGTGAAGCCGTAGCTTCTAGTGTATCCATCACTGGGTGGACCCATTAAGTAATTCTCATCATCCACCCCTCCCCTCCCATCCCTCTGGGTCTACATTGCCCATCATTCCACACTCTACTTCTATGTGTGCATATTATTTAGCTCCCACTTCTAAGTGAGAACGTGTGATGTTTGTCTTTCTCTGCTTTACTATTTGTTAGGGAAAAAAAAAAATAGGACTTGCACATTAACTCCATGATTAACAAGTATTGTTGCTTAGGATAAAGCAAAAGTAGGTGGCAGTGCTAATAAACCAACTGCAGAGGTTGCAGGGAGATAGAGAAACCTTTTAAAGGAGAGATGCCAATATCTGAGGTTTGGGGAGATCTCATTTAATCCTTGCACCAACCCTGTGAAACAGATACCTTGTTCACATTCCCAAGGTAGAAATCTGAGGGTCACAAAGGTGAAATAACTTGTGTAAATTCACAGAGCCCTGAAGTGGAGGGTAGACAGGATTTGCCCTCAGATTGGGCTTTTTCCTGCAGACCCTCCTAGCAAAACTCATACCCTGGGCGCCATTTCTCTTTCATTCTTCCTAGACAGTTGGAGGTTCTGGAAGTGGGAGTGTGCTTTAATTGCCAGAGTATCCCATGCCCGGTGGGATGCCTTGTGCCTAGTGCATTTGCCTAAAGTTCTATGGAAAGAATGAATCACTGCAGAGGGCATGGACCACAATTGTCTGAGCACAATTTACAAAGCACTTTCATAAGCATTTTCATTTCCTTCTTCCAACAGCCTTCTGAAGAAGGTATCCTTTCCCCATTTCACAGGAGACAGCACTGAGAATGAGTCTTGCCTTGGTGCTAAGAGAGAAGCAGAGTGGGATCAAACTCACCAGCATGGCCACAAAGGCCCCAGAGACCTTGGGGGCCGCGGCCGGAGGGCGGGAGATGGAGAGGGAAGGTCCAGGAATGATCTGCAGACCTGGAGGCAGATAGCCTTTAACCTCTAGCACCCTTTCCCTTTCTATTAATAGGTTCTGAGCTCAGCAGCCCCAAGTCACAGGAACTAACACAGAAACAAGCCCCTGATTACTGAGATAAGATATAAGAATTGTTGAGCAAAAGGAAACACCTGGGTAAAATCCAATTTACCAATTGACACACTTCCAGGCAGTCATTCAAGTTTTTCTAAGCTTTATTATGTTTTCTAGCTAATGACAAAGTAATATAAGTTCACAGTGAAAAAATTGAGAGGAGGACAGAAAAATATAAATACAAAAATAGAAATAACCTATAACCTCACCACCCAGAAATGGCTGTTAATATTTTGGTGTCATATAGAAAGAAAAGAGAAGGTAGAAGAGAAAGAAGAGGAGGAGGATAAGAAAGTAGAAAGAGGAAAAGAAAGAAGAGGAAGAAGAGGAAGGAAAGGAGGGTAGGAGGGAGGGAGAAAGAGAAGGCCTGGCAAGCCATGTTATAAAAAAAAAAAAATAGGTCTTAACTTTCATCTTTTGCTGGGGCAGAGTTTTTATAAATATGGTTTGAAGATTACCTGCAACAGAATCACCTGGGGCATTTTCTAAAAATGGTTCTCAACCTACTGAATTAGTCTCTGGGGTGGGGCCTGGGGTTCTGCATTTTAACAGGTTCTGCCAAGTTGAGAATACCACTGGGACAGGTGGCCCACAGAAGTCATCCTGGGGGTAGTGGGTGGCTTTTTGCAGAGAAAAAAAAAAAACGATTAAGTTTAGTAAGGATGGAATGTCAGATTTTTTTAAGGACTAAGTTTGACAGTTGATATCTCTGACAATTCACTTTGATGCTTCTTGGGTTTTTTTTGTTTTCTTTTTTGCATTCTTTATTTCTCGTTCTTTCAAATGCATGTTTTGGTTTGTGATTATCTTTCAGAAATTTTTTGAGCAATTTTTGTGAAACCATGGATAAGTCAAAAATTCGTGTTATTTTTTAATATGAGTTCCATTGTGGAACCAATGCAGCACAGACAGCTTGAAATACCAATGAAATGTTTGGGAAGGATGTGGCCAATGGATGCATAGTACATTGATGGTTTGAGAAGTTCTATTCTGGTGATTTTAATCTTGAAAATAAGCCATGTGGGTTACCTGAGGCCAAAGTGGATAATGATGAGCTGAAAGCTGTAGTGGAAGCGAATTGATCTCAGCCTACTCATGAATTAGCAGCAAAGTTTGATGTTACTATTCCAACAACATTGAACCATTTGAAACAAATGGGCAAGATTAAGAAGCTGGATAGATGGGTACCGCATGAATTAAACGAGCATCAGAAGAGAAATCGTCTCAAAACTTGCCTTTCTTTGCTGTCACAACATAAGGGCAAACCATTTGTACACCATATTGTTACTCGTGATGAAAAATGGATTCTTTTTGACAGTTGCAAGCATTCAGCATAATGGTTGGATAAAGACAAAATGCTGAAACAGTTCAAAACCAAATATTCATCAAAAGAAAAAAAAAAGCTAATGGTGTCTGTTTGGTGGTCCAGCACTGATATTATCCACCACAGCTTCCTGAAACCTGGTAAATTAATTACAGTGGATGTCTATGGCAACCATTTGGATGAAATGTGAGGATACTTGTGATTAAGCAGCTGAGACTGTTCACTAGAGAGAGGAAAATGCTTGACCACATGTCACACAAACAATGCTGCTCAAACTACAGAGGCTGGACTTGGGAACTGTCATCCACTGTATTCGCCAGATCTTGCACCAACTGACTATCACTTCTTCCAGTCTTGGACACTTTCTTGCAAGGAAACACATTCAGTTCTCAACAAGCTGTGGAAAACACCTTTCGTAATTTTATTGCTACTGGCTCTCCAGGCTTCTTCGCTGCTGGCGTAAACAAGCTACCATTAAGATGGCAAAACTGTGTCGATGGTGTAGGCCGGGTGCAGTGGCTCACGCCTGTAATCTTAGCACTCTGGGAGGCCAAGGCGGGTGGATTGCTTGAGCTCAGGAGTTTGAGACCAGCCTGAGCAAGAGTGGGATCCCATTTCTAATAAAAATAGAAAAAATTAGCCAGGGGCGGTGGCATGTGCCTGTAGTCCTAGCTACTCAGGAGACTGAGGCAGGAGGATCACTTGAGCCCAGGAATTTGAGGTTGCTGTGAGCTAGGCTGATGCCATGGCACTCTAGCCGGGGCGACAGAGTAAGATTCTGTCTCAAAGAGAGAGAGAGAGAGAGAATATAGCTATACGCTAAGTTGTACCTAGAAAACTGAAAGTAAAAAAAAAAATGTTGGCCAGAAAAGATTCATTCTTGCCTTTAGCCAAGATCACACACTCATTGGGAAGAGTTGGGCCCTGAGAAGCCTAGGGCCCCAGGAGGCCACCGTGCATGGTACCTGGGATTGAAGACTTTAACCAGTTTGAAAAACTGATCACACAGCAAGCTTGTCTGCTGGTCTTTACAACCATCTGCTTACCAGCCTGCTTCAGCTTGACTGACTGAAGAATTTGAACTTCAATGTTCTGAGAAGAGATGATTCAGCTCTGGATGAATAGAGACATATTTCAGGAAGTTGGATTTCCTAAAAAACCCCCAGGACTTCTTATGAGAGAGGGTCGTGTACCACAGTTCAAGTCCGTTTCCTTCCCCACTTCCCTCTGTCTCCTGACACTGCAAACTTATCACATTTTCTATTCTGACTCTAAGAATTATTTTTTCCTTACTGTTGCTGTTTATCTTTTTCTGATCACAAAATTTATGCTTGTGCTAAATTAAGTGTAGGAAAGTCTAAAAAATGTTGCTTGTTGTCTACGCATTTTTAAAAATTTAGTAAAGATTATATTATACATACAATCTTGATTTCTTCTTTTTATACATTTCTTTCTAGGTTTATTCTTGAAGAGTTCATAGTTTTGTTGCTATTGTCAATGAGATATTCCTTTGCATTTTTACTTAGAAGTGGCTAAAACTTCTGGAATCATGGTAAATAATTGTGGTGATAATCTAAAGCTTCGTCTTGATCCTGATTTTAATCTAAAGCAACACCTTGGTGTTTCACTTTTAAATATGATGTTGATTTTTATTGATACCAGTTAAAATGTTAAATGCTGGAGAGATTTTTTTCATCACGAAAAGAATTTTTTTGAAAAAAAATTTTACTGTTTAGAAATAAATCAGGCTGGGCGAGGTGGCTCACGCCTGTAATCCTAGCACTCTGGGAGGCCTGAGGCGGCGGATTGCTCCAGGTCAGGAGTTCGAAACCAGCCTGAGCAAGAGCAAGACCCCCCAACTCTACTATAAATAGAAAGAAATTAATTGGCCAACTAATATATATAGAAAAAATTAGCCGGCATGGTGGCATGCCTGTAGTCCCAGCTACTCGGGAGGCGCGAGGCAGAGGAATCGCTGAGCCCAGGAGTTTGAGGTTGCTGTGAGCGAGGCTGACGCCAAAGGCACTCACTCTAGCTGGGCAACAAAGCGAGACTCTGTCTCAAAAAAAAAAAAAGAAAGAAATCAGAAAAACCAAGATGTGCTTCGGTAAGCCAATGGATACCTAAACTGCGGCACATGCGGACAATGGAATGTTACTCAGCCCCAACAAGAAATGAGCTATCAAGCCTTGAAAAGACGTGGAGGAAACTTAAATGCACGTTAACAAGTGAAAGAAGCCAAGGTCGCTGACTAGCCTAAGTGTCGCAGAGCTCCTGAGCGCGGGAGTGTAGTCTGTTGGGGATGGCGGAGCTGAGGGTGGCATGAAGTATCGCGTGGTTTGGCGAGGCGGGGCGGGGTCAGCGAGGACGAATCACAGCGGGCCGAGCCCACGTCCTGTCCCCTGCACCGTGGCGGCGGCGTGGGCGGTGCCCGGAGTCTGAGCCTCCGTTGACCCGCCGCTGTGCCAGGTGTCCTTACCTGCCCTGGAGCCGCGCCCCGGTGGCGCCTCTGGAGGACGTGTGTGCGCGCGTGCGTGTGCGTGTGACGTGTGCGTGCGAGTGTGCGTGCGTGTGACGTGTGTGCGTGTGTGATGTATGTGTGTGTGTGTGTGGAAGGTGAGCGCGTGGCTCCTGCCTGGAGTGCAGCTGCTGGGGAGAGTGTCTTGAGCTGGGAATTTGGGACTGGCCTGGACAAGACAGTGAGACCCTGTCTCAAGAAAGCAAAAACATGTTTGTGGCCCTAACAATATTTGTACCTCCATAATATGATGTAATAAAAGAAAAAACAAAAACTAAGTTTGAGGGAATACAGTATTGTGCAGCTGCCAGAAAGGCTAACTACTGGGCGATGGAATTAAAAGTGATTCTTTAAAAATGTTCTGGCCTCTTCATATTGACTGTAGTCTGAAAGTACATGTCCATATAAAGTTACCTAGGAAAGTATCCCCCCAAAAGATATAAATATTGGTTATTTTTAGATGACAGAATTAAAAATTATCTTTTTAGTATTTTCACATTTTGAAAAAGAAAAAAAAAGATCAGGGTTGAGGGGAGGGAGAGATGAATAGAAGTAGCACAAAGGATTTTCAGGGCAGTGAAAATACTCCACGTGATGTTATAAGGGTTCATGTCATTGTACGTTTGCCCAAACCTATAGAATGTAGAACACCAGCAATGGCCCTAATGTAAACTATGGTGTTTGGGCGATAATGACCTGTCCGTGTGGGCTCATCAATGTAACAAGTGTACCACTCTGGTCTGGGGTGTTGATAGTGGGGGTGGGGTGAGTGTGGGGGTAGGGAGTAGATGGGAAATCTATACCTTCCATTCAGTTTTGCTGTGGACATAAAACTGCTCTAAAACTAAAGTGTATTAAAATTTTTAAAACATCAGAAATGGATATTGGTACTCATCAAATTTAAAAAAAAATAATCTGTCAAGAGGACAGATATTGATTGAATTTGACAAGTAGGTTTTTCATACATGTAAACTGTCCTTACATTCCTAACATAACATCATTTCATATCTTATATACTTCTGGGTTTATGTACTGGAGTTTTGCTTAAAAGTTTTGTTTCTATGTATGTAAGTTAACATTATCTAGACCTTTTTATAAAAAACTGTGTTTGAATTAGCTTTATGAACAAATTGTGTTGCAATCGATAGTTTCCTTTGTCCCTTGTTCTAGAACAGTTCCTTTATCATGGGAGTTTTCTATTCCTCGAAGGTCTTTTCCTCTTGCAATCATTTAAACCTAGTATTTTTTATAGAGGTTAATTATCAACTTGTCTTTCATGGTTATTGCTTTGTGTAGGTTATATATGTCTTGATTCGAGTTTGATTATTTACGTTTTACTACAGGATCATACCTTCCTAAAGATTTTCTTTTTTTTTTTTTCCACATCAAAAGAATGAGAAAGATTTTCAAAATTCTAAAATTTCTGTAAGTATAATTGTATCCACTACTCCATACAATGTAGAGATTTTAAATGGCAAGACCTAAAGTCTAGAGGATCTGGGTTCAAACCCGCATTTTACCACTTACCTCTATGACAAGCTTAGTTAGACAAGTTACTTCAACTTCCCTGTGCCTGGTTTCCTGAAATGGAGTAAATGTAAACTGGACATAATGATGCTCATACCATGTAAGAACACTGAACAAAGAGATGAATTAGGACAGGTTGAGTGCTTAGTACCATACCTGGGACAGAGGAAATATTTCGTAAATGTGGGCTATTTCTATTTATATAATAGTGGGTATTTGAGTTTTTTCACTTTTTTGTTATGCAATCAAAATGTATCTATTGTTTTTCTATTTTCTTTTCACTTTTATCTTTGTATTTTCTTTTTCAGGATTTCCTATAAGCTACTGTTTTCTAATTTCTTAAGCTTAATGCTTAATTCAGTTACTTTTCATTCCTCCTGGTTTAATAATGAAAGCATCTGCTGCTTTGAATTTGCTTCTAATGACAGCTTTGTCAGGGTCTTTCAGGGTTGCTATGTAGTATTGGATTCATCTTTAATGAATACAATGAAATCAAATCAAAGAGTTCTTTAGGAGAGAATTTTATAGGATTGTGTCTGTTGATTCTAGTTGCATTATTACTGTTGGTTAGAAAAGAAAGTTTCTTTGTTGAATGGTAGACAGCTGACCCTTGAACATGCCCAACCCCTACAGAGTTGAAAAGCCAAGAATAACTTTTAACTCCCCCCAAACTTAACTATTAACAGCCTGTTGTTGATTGGAATCCTTACCAATAACACAATTAACACATATTTTATGTGTATATATGCAGTATATACTGTATTCTTCTTTTTTTTTTTTTTTTGACACAAGGTTTCTGTTATCTGAGCTGGAGTTCAGTGGCATGATCATAGCTCACTGCAGCCTTGAACCCCTGGGCTCAAGCAAGCCTCCCAGCTCGGCCTCCAGGATAGCTAGGACTACAGGTGTGTGCCACTAAGCCCCACTAATTTTTTTTTAATTTAATTTTTTTGAGGTGGAATATTGCTATGTTGCTCAGGCTGGTCTCAAAATCCCAAAGTGCTGGGATTACAGGCATGAGCCAATGTGCCTGGCCTTGTATTCCTACAATTAAGTAAGCTAGAGAAAAAAATGTTATTAAGATAATCATAAGGATCAGACAATATTTAATACTCATTTAAGCGGAAATGGATCATCATAAAGATCTTCATCCTCATCATCTTCACATTGAGTAGGCTGAGGAGGAAGTGGAGGAGGAAGAGGAGAGGTTGGTCTTGCTTTCTTAGGGGTGGCAGAAGTGGAAGAAAATATGTGGATGAGTGGACCGGAGCAGTTCAAACTTGTGTTATTCAAGGGCTAACTATATACTTAATTGTAAAGTGATCTCTAAGTACTAGAAAAGCTTAATTTTTTATTTGAAGGAATGGGAATCCAATATATATATCTATTAAATTAAACTTATTGATTATATCATTCAGACCATCTATACCAGTGCTGTCCAATGGAAATGTACTATGAGCCACACATGTGATTTAAAATTTTCTAGTAGCCATGATTAAAAAAGAAAAAGTAGGTGAAATTAATTTTAATATATTTTATTTAACCCAATATACCCATAATATTTTCATTTCAATATGTAGTCAATATAAAATATATTCATGAGATATTTTGCATACTTTTTTTATATGAAGATTTCAAAACCCAGTGTGGGCCAGGCATAGTGGCTCACGCCTGTAATTCTAGCACTCTGGGAGGCCGAGGCAGAAGGATCATTTGAGCTCAGGAATTCTAGAACAACCTGAGCAAGAGTGAGACCCTGTCTCTACTAAAAATGGAAAGAAATTAATTGGCCAACTAAAAATATATAGAAAATATTAGCTGGGCATGGTGGCACATGCCTGTAATTCCAGCTACTTGGGAGGCTGAGGAAGAAGGATCACTTGAGCCCAGGAGGTTGAGGTTGCTGTGAGCTAGGTTGATGCCATGGCACTCTAGTCTAGGCAACAGAGTGAGACTCCGTCTCAAAAAAACAAAAAACAAACCCAGTGTATATTTTAGATTTACAATACTTGATCTATATTTAGATTTCATAAAATTTACAGTTGAAAAAGTAGTCACATATGAAAGTTGTTCCAAACATTCTTAAAAATTGGTTAATACCAAGTTGGATATCATTTTAACATCATATTTAAGTTGGTTAAAATTAAAAATTCAAGATAGGTGTAGTGGCGCAAACACCTATCGTCCCAGGTACTCAGGAGGCTGAGGTGGGAGGATCACTTGAGTCTAGGAGGTCGAGGTTGCAGTGAGCTATGATCAAGCTACTGCACTCCAGCCTGGGTGACACAGTGAAAATCTGTCTCTCTAAAAAAAAATTAATTAAATTGAATTAAATTAAAAATTCAATTTCTCAATGACACTAACCACATTTAAGGGCTTAGCAGCCACATGTGGCTACAATCTGCAGTACTGAGTAGTGCAGCTCTATATCCTTTATTTTGACTGCTAGGCTTGCCAAATAAAGGTGTATTAAAATCTCCAGCTGATTTTAAGGAATTGTCGTTTAATTTTTTGGGGGGCGCAATATAGTATTCTCACTATTATTAAAAGCATTCTTATGTTTTTGAAATGCATATTGAAATGCTTATTAATGAGAGTATGTAATCTTTGAGATTGGATTCAAAACAATGTGAGCATGAAGGAAGTGAGTTGGGGTATATTTGAAAGACACTAGCTCTGAATTCATAATATCATATTGTTTACTTTTGTGTATGTTTGAAATTTTTCATAATAAAATAAAAAATAAAAATAAAAAATTTGGACTAAACATTTTCCATTCATGCATTTGTTTTTGTCAAAATTTTCCTTATGTTCCTTTAGATATTTCAATCCTGTGGGGTTTTAAAAATCATCTGTTTGATCATAATGGAGAAAATTAAATAAATATGACTAATAATATGCAATCAGAGTGCAACTTTATTTTTTGTCTCCTACTAATTTAAAAAGATTTTTTAGTGCAAAGTTCTTTCTTTGCTTCCTCATAAAAACTCACAATTTTTTTGCTGGCTACTCTTAGGCTTAAAAAAAAGTCTTAGGACCACTCTAAGTCACAAATCCGGTGTGGTGGATTAAAGAAGGCTACCGATGCTTTGCTATTCCCCTTCCCCCGAATTGGAACTGGCTAGAATGTGGTCTGTATTCCACATTGGAAGAGATGCCGCATAACCCTGAATCTCGATTTTAAGAGATCTATACCTTCTGTTTTGGGAATGCTTTCTTTTTGGCCCCAGTGTCCATGCTGTGTGATGCCCAAGCCACATGGAGAGGCCACATGAAGGAACGAGGCCCTCTGGTTGGCAGCACCGAGTTCCCAGCTCATGGCCCTGTGAGGGAGCCATCTTGGACGTCATTCAGTTGGCCATCGGAGGGAATGCAGTTATTTCTAAAGCACAACCTTTTTTTTCTGACACAAACGAGGTAGCAGCCCATCATGTGCCCAGTTGCTGAGAACTCTTACCTAGCTCTCTGGGGGC